ACATGGCAATTTCCTTAAAATTTCTATTATAGTACATTAATACAGTAAAGTACAGACCTAAATGGACAACTTAAAAAGGGTTTTTGTTTTTTGGCAAGTACTTTACTATTAAAGCGTAAGGTTGACATTTGCATAGAATTGCTCTACTACACTTTCAGCACTGTGATATTTTAACTATGAAATATTTTAGCAATGTGGACCTCACAAAAATTTTTATTCATGATATTAATATATTACTTATTTGTGAACTTTCCAATCAGTAAAATATCCTATGTAAACTAGTCACTATTATCGTCTATTGCAAAAACTTACCCTCCCAGTCCCTCTACATGTTTAGATACCATAAAGTTGTCTTCTCCTTATGTCCTTGTGATATTTTTGCTTTTACTGCTGCTCTGAACATCCCTTTTGCTTCTGTTCTACTTAGTGAGGAATTTACTTCAATACATTTTTATATGAAAGTAAGTATTAATTAATTAAAATACATTTTATAAAACCGTGAAGCAGAAATCAAGCTAATTAAAATGAATGTAATAAATTTCATTAATTCACAGATGAGTTGATTAAAAATGTACAGATTTGATCAAAGATTTGATTTTTTTTTACCAGAGCGTTTGTTTAATCCACGTGTAACTGGTGTTGTCTGCGGTGTGTTTTTCCATTTTAGTGTAATAAGCAGATGGACATCAGCTGACGGTTCGACTCTTCTTTAATGTGATAAAAGATAACAGTCTTTACGATGTGAATTTGTCCTTTGTTGTTTCTGTTTCTTTCCCATGCAGAGACAGTGCAGAAAGGGGAAGATAGCAGAGAGCAGGGATAAAACTTTTAAGCAATAAAATTAATTTAACAGTGACAAAACAGCATACCTGATAAAAGATAACAGTCTTTACGATGTGAATTTGCACTTTGTTGCTTCTGTTTCTGTTAAACGTAAAGTGCAATGCAATGAGCACGTGCTTTGAGTTCACGAAATACAGAAAATTGATCAAACTTGGTGAAAATATGAAAATAATCAAATATACATGAAAATTAATGACACAGATATGATTTAGATGAGAAATTTAAGTCCAAAAGTGATTTAAAAGAGAAAGATGTAATTGGATTAATCAGAGCTCATTAGAAACCCACCTCTCCCATGCAGAGACAGTGCAGAAAAGGGAAGAGGAGGGGCAAAGACAGGAAATTAAGACCAACACTGCACTCAGAAAGTTAAAGGGGAAGATGCACACATACAGACAGGCATATCATGTACACATTTTTGTGTAATTCTATATTTACTCACATAATACATTCCATACCTGTGACACATGCTTCATCATGAGCACATGAATGTTAGTGGTCGTACTGTTTCACTGCTCCTAACCACCAGAGGCAGTGAATAACACCTGGTTATTCTCTTATGTGCGTATGCTGAAACCTTTACCACAAAGTCGTATGACAACAGTGACATCCTACTTACTGTAAGTTACTGTAAATTTCTTGAGCTAACCTGTGCAGCTTGTAACTTTGGGCGGAGCCACAAAGCATGAGGACAGCATGTTCGTTGCTGCAACTCTGTGATAATTTTCCAGCTGGCTAGTCCATAGACAGCTCCTTTGCTATGGACTAGATTGAGGCCTCACTTCTAACAGCAAGACACCTGGCTCAAGAGTAGGGAGACTAAGTGCCAGTTTGGTTAATGCACAGTGCAAGGTTTTTGGCACAGTCCACACTGCCTCAAGTATGCAAAAATCCCCTATACAGTTTGCCCTGAATTCCTGGACTGCTCTTTGTGCCCACAGCCAAGGAGTCCCTAGAGAGGACAGCCAAGGCTCCAGAATTGTGCAACCATTGGAATAACAAAGATCAGCCAGTGATCAATAAAAGACCCGAGCCAATGCTCAGGTGCCCTCCCGAAGGTCACCCTGGAGCTACAGATGCTTAGAACTGAGCTCCCAGGGCCCCAATAATTACCTAAGCTTCCCTGATCCGTCCCAAGGGTTGGGCCCATAATGGCACCAGTTCTCCATGCAGAAAGACACCCCCACCCCCCACACACACACAAAACTCCGATTTAGAGATGCCTTTTCAAGTCTTTGCATGGAAAACAAGTTCATTGTAGGGCTGACAATTTTTTAAGCTGTTGTTACAGAACATCATCAACAAGTGGAGAAAATGGAGCACCACAGTGACATCACCAAGAACAGGACGTCTCTCCAAAAAACGACAAGACAAAAAACTTACCAGGGAGGCTGCCAAGGGACCTACAGCAACAATA